TAGCTCAAATCACAATTACTTGTTACTCCCATCTATTTTGGGCATTTACTGTTCTTTCTCACGTCATCCACTGAAAATGTGGAGGTTATAGCGTGTCTCATTACCGTCTACTGGCTATCACCTGGAAGAAAATCTGCTTGTCAACTATTATCTTAAAAAAAAATTTCCATGTACTCTTTCCTGCAATTAAGCTACCAAGCCACTTGGTGGTGATAGGTGCTTTATTCATAACAGTCAAATTACCAGATGTGCTTTTTGAAGGTTAGTTTAAATTATTTTTTCATTAATAATTTTTTCCATTATTTTCAGATTTTTAAAATTATTGTATCAATGAAGTATACCAAACTTTGAGTTGTAAAGTATATAATTCTAAATAGAGCAGCTTGCACAGGAATAAGGTTGAATTTAGTGCCTCTCTCACTAATCCTTGTAGACAGTTTACTTATAACTTGTATTTTATGCCCAGATTTTGATTAAAATACTTGTTTCTCTTAAAACAGAGATTCATTGTTGTGTACCATTGTATCATAGTTCATTGGTTCTAAAACACCACTAAATACGAGATACATTCTAACCTCACAAGATGTTCAATGTTAAAAAAAAAGTGACTTCTTGGAAACAATGAGATGCTGTATTTGTAGAATCCAATAGTCTTAATGCATGCAAGAAACTCAATAAATATGTCAGAAGGAAGGAGGGAGGAAAGAGGAAGGGAAGGAGATTTCAAAAAGGGAGGGGGAGGAAGGGAGAGAGGAGAGAAAGCAAAAAAGAGGGCAGAAAAGAATAATTACATATCCTTCCTAAAGCATAGGCATAATTCTGAAGGTTTCTTGGCAGAAAACTTTTCCAACTTTGCTTTTCGCAGATGGAAACTTATTTATTAGTTCAACAATAATTTGGCTGCTTCCAAGTTAATACAAAAGAAGCCACTGAGTTGACATCTTTGTATTCCCAGGCTTATGAGCTCCTGCAGGCTTTTCTTCATGTGGAAGGAAAAACAGATGTAGCTGTCTTTGGACCTTGGTACAGGTTACTGTACCTTGCTGATTTCTGTAGATCCTTCAGATCTTACTTTAAATGTTACTGCCTCAGAGAAGCATTCCTGGACTGCTTTAGATAGAAATAGATAGAATATCCATGAGAGGAGTTAAAATACTAGGTTCTGAATGTGATAGTAGATTCTAGACTTTAAGGGCTAAACAATCAGCAGCAAAGATTCAGACCATTTGATTATTCTGACTTAGTATCATCTCTTTATATATGTAGGCAGTCCAATAACCTCACTAGTCAGGTATTAATAATAAAGGTTTGGTTATATAGTAACTATAGAAATTTATTTCTAAAAATTTAAACAGAAAGTTAAAGCTAATCATTGACATATGATTCATATTTTTTCCAGTCATATTTACATTATGATATTTTCAAACTTCCTATTGTAAAATAGGAAAACATACTGATTATAATACTTAGGAGTAGACTCAATGAAATATTAATTTCATTTAATTTAGAAAATAAAGTAGTATTTTTGTTATCTATTTGTCTTCAGAAAAAATAATTATTTTTATCTTTCAATTTGAGCAAGTAGAAAATAAAAACAGAATTTTAAACAGTGTACTTTGCTCAAACTATACATTATAGGTATATAGTTCTAAATTATTTAAACAATTATTTAGATAAACCTATTAGTTACATGGCCATAAATAACACTGATGGGAAATGTAACAATATTGTCTAATTAGGACTGTTTGCCGTTTCCAGGAGGTGACATTTTACTGATTGTCTTCTACCCTTTCAAAGAACAGATTATCCCATAAGCCTATAGATAAATATTGGTTTGCTTTCTCCAGTGCCTGAATGGCTTATGAATTTAAAGGTTCTTGCCCTTACTTTTAAGGAAGAGCTAGCACTTCACCCAGTTTTTAAGTACATCTCTGATTTTCTCCCCAGTTTCTCAAGCTTTGGAAATGACACTGTGCTTGTTCTGGGAAGTGTTGTTCCAGGTGCTCCTTCCTCCACATAATGCTGACTTTCGCATGGAAAAGCTGCTATGACAGAGTGATTTGAAAAATAAAATGTCTCTATAATTTGAATGTTACCCAACGGTAAATTCAGTGGCAGAATTATGGAGGATGTTGAGGCTGTTGATGATTAACTAGGTTTATTGTTATAAAGAGCGTAGCACCTGCTTTCAGTATATCTTTGGATTTAATGTGGCAGGATTCTAAACCTGGTTTTACTCACATCCTGAATTTCCAAATATTAATAGATTGAACATTAACACTAGAATTGAACTGCTGAAGAAATAATTACTGAGGTATTTTAAAGTGCCCTTCTGCCATTAAGTGGGACAGCTGAAAAAAAAAAAAGATTAAAGAGACGTTTTAATCAATAAAGGCTGAAGTATGAAAAAAAAGGGTGAGAAAGATGAAAACAATACTAAATGCAACTTTTCGCTTCTGGTATTGACTTACTGGGGATATACTTTTGGCTCTGTAGCTGAAGAGTAGCCTCTCAATTTTAACTATGAAGATATACTAAAAGTAAACCAAAATAACTTTTATCTTTTCTTTCCTGTTAGGAAATAAACAATTGCTTCTAATGCTCAAAGTGACTGGATTGGCAGTGTTCCAAAATTGAACCCAGGAGCACAGAAGATAGTATGTCAGCAGAGGTCATTAGAGAAAGAACAGGGAAATTACACAGGACTTGAGATCTTTGTATTTAGCTTTATGAAATCACAGGATATTTTTCATATCGCTTTTCTAGGTAGGCATATATACACATAAGACATATTCCAAGGAAACCTGCAATTTAAACAATTGTCTTTGAGATTTGATGACTAGAGCACCACAGCTATTAGCATAAATGAGAGGTGCTAGAGAACACTCGTGATTGAAAATGCCATCATTGTTCAGGAAATTATGTCCTGCGAAATGGCTTAACAGTCTGGCTCCACATCAAGGATGAGGTGTACAAGAATGAAAAGGGAAATAATTTCTGAATATATTTCCTTCATTGCCGTGACTTATTGCCCACTGCATATTGGCCCTTTGGCTTTTATACTGAGAGTCAAGAAACAGATATTCAGTTGTATTGTGCTGACCAAAGGAAATCATGATACAAACATAATCTGCTAGTTGGTACTGTTTCTTTCCTGTTTTGCAATCAATATATTACGTTTCCCTACATTAAAAAATATATGCAGTGTATTGAAACGTTTCCTTGGTTTTATAACTACTACAAAAATAGCCAGGAAAAGCCACTATTTTTAACCGTGAACCGTATTCTGAAAATACCATAAGTAGATAATTGGGACATAGCAGAGTTGTCTTTCTATGACTTTGAATTCTAGGGATTTGATGTGAGGATAAAATTAAGGCCGATTTTACTGTTCTTGGGAAGTTCAACTGCATGATCCATGAACAATTAAATGCAAGGGCCATTAAAGGTGAAAAAGTAACTTTCTAATATTTTTCATGGGCATTTCCAAAGCAAGATGAAGATTTATTTTCTGACACTGTAGAGCGACCACAGCCAGGGCCAGAGAAAAGTGATCTCTCTTGGGTTGTCTGCAGTCTGCACTTTGACTTCCTCCTCTTGGCCCAGTTTAGTCCAGACATTTCATCAGCTTGACTAAGCCTCATCACCATTTAGCTGCCAAATTCAGTGGCTGCCAAAATCACTAGTAGCTTTTTAAATACACCTGTTGCCAGCACTTTGCTTGAGTCAAGAAGGCTAGACCTTTCTGGTGTACCCTACTGGCTAGGTATCTCTTTCAAAGGAGAAATATTTTTAATATTACTTGATCATCTTCTTCAGGGAAACATTTTTTCCAGCAAGCTTTTCTCCCTACAGAGAAATTGCATTCACACTAAACCTGCTATCTCACATCTGGTCTAGGTTAGCCTTTCGAGAAAAAAATGGTTTCCATAATCAATACTATCTCTGATTTTTAATTGTGTGGGGCCAACAAAGCTGTCTGAATAACGAAACATGAAAACTTGGTGTAAATCGAGAGATTTTAAGTGTCATAATCAAATACCATTTACAGCAAAGTTAATCTGATGGTTAATAGTATGTATTGCATAATAATTAGGAATAAGCACTAAGTAGTTCTCATGAAGGATTGTAATTAATGCGTTTCTTGAGGCCAAACAAGCATTTTTGGAACAAGCGCGGTGGGGAGATGAACAGAAGAGCAGTTAAAGCTGGATTCTGAGATAATGATTTCTGGACAAGAGCCTCTTTGGCCAGACCTCTCTGCTTTTCCATTAGCGTTTGCTCCAGGCCAGTAGGCCAGTGGCTGGAACAGCCTTCCCCATCCACCACAAAGGTAATAAAAAATTTACAAAGAGAAAATGCGGTAGCTTCAGTTCTGACAGTCTTCCCGACCTTTTGAACCTTGTACTACTATTGAGCTGCAGCTTGGTGGTCCTTATATAATATTGTTATATATATTATTATATGCATAAATTATTTATTTATTTAAAAGATTCTTTGTTCCATACCAGGTAGTTCACGTTTCGGAACGTCCTACAAGCCACTGTTGTCTATTCTGAGACACTCAATTTAATACAAGGTTTGCTTAACCAGAGTCAGGAAAATGCCTCTTTTCTTCATTTTCCTGCACTCACATTAAACACAGAGGTGGTTTAAACCACCTGGTAAAAGAGGATGGGATCAAAACGCTGCGGTGCAGAAGAACGGGAACGTCACCAAGTCGGTTCACCACTTGCAAATGGACGCATTTAACTGTACGTGAAGAAAAGACACTTTCTTAAGAGAGCGGCCGGCCCGGGCTCGGTGGGACCTCGGCCCGAAGAGGTCTCAGGGCGGAACGACGCGCCCGCGCCGCGCCGGGCCTGGCGGCAGGAAGAGAGGGGCTCGCGGGCTGCTGCCGAGGGGAGTCGCCGGGGCTCCGCGCGGCCGGGCGCGGCGGCAGGGAGCGCGGAGCCCGCACGCGGCGGCCGCAGCGGGGGCGCGGGGAGGGGCCGGCGGCCGCCCCGCCCCCTCCCGGGGATGCCGGGATGTTTACCCTCCTGACAGCGGCGCCGCGGGAGGAGGAGCGGGAGCCGAGGGAGGATGGGCCGCCGCTAGGCTCGCACTCTGGACGCGCCTCGCCGAGCGCAGGGTGGGTGCCCGCGCCTGCAGCGTCCGCGGGGGCGGCGCGGCGGGAGGTGGCCGGTCGGCTCCGGGCCTCGTAGCCGCAGCCCCCGGCCCAGCGAGCCTTTGCGCGGCGGCTCCTGGCCGAGCCGCCCGCCCGCCCCGGGTGCCTCGCGGGCAGGAGAACGGAAAACTCCCGACTTCCTGGTGAGTCGCTGCCCGGAGCTCGGGCAGCCGGGCGGAGCGGCCGCGGCGGCCTGCGGGAGCCGGGCGGGGAGAGGGCGGTCGGGACCGCGCTGGGCGGCCTCCGGGAACCCCCGGCCCGGGGCAGGTGGGGCGGGGCGCGCCGCGCTCGAGCCGGCGGGGCTTTCGGTGGGAGCGGGCGGCGGGAACCGCACGCCTGGCCCTGGCTCCGGGGCCCTGAGGCCGTCGCGGTTACTGAGAAACTCGCGGCCACGGCGGCGGCGGCGGCAACAGGTCTTTGGTCTCAGGACCTGAGGAACTTGAGCGAAGTCCCGCCTCCCGGCAGATCTCATTGGCGGCGTCAGTTATTTATCCCGCGCGGATTGGTTAAGTCCGTCTGTCAGGACTCGGCAGTGGCCCGACTTAGAGAAGTGAAGTTCGCTGGGAGAGAGTGGGCGGTGGGAGCCGGGCAAATCGGGGAGAGTCTGAAGCGGCCTGAGAAGTCAGGGAGCGTGAGAGGCCTGTTGGAGATGGACTTCAGAGAGACTCAGGATTATAAAATGTCGGAGAGAGGCATTGCGAGGCGGTAGCAAACACTGGTGGTGATGGTGGCGATGGAAAAGAAAGAAATTGGAAATTGAGGCCAAAGTCAGAGAGATGAAGGGAGCGCGAAGGAAAACGGAGAAAAGTGAGACCACGTGACTGCAGAGCAGTGTCAGGAAGCGGACGCAACGTGGAGGATGCTGCAGATGGGATCTGAAGAACTCTCGTGGTCTCTTTTCTTCATACTCTCTAGGCCTTAGGAGATGATGCATCAACTGATGAATCGTGTTCTCGCATAGTTGTAGTCCTTTTTGGGGAAAATAATCTTAAAAATATACTTAGTTTGTAGTCAGATATATGTCTCTGTGCTTGAGCAATTCCCGTGACTTAACTGGAAATCAGACATGAAATGGTTTTTCTATTCCTTTGAGATTACTGAGCTAATGGATGCAGTGGAGAACATCAGATTTTCGTAGTTTGTATTGTGTGCCCATTATAATTAGAACCACTATTTCTAATTCCTTCTCCAAGGCATTTGCAGTGTCAGGAATATGCACACTCCCTACAGGCGACAGCAGTATGTCTTGTCAGGTTGCATTGCAGGAAAAAACCCCAGAATATGTGTTATCAATCTGTTTAGGCCCTTGAGCTGCTGCTGGTGTGGTCGAAGAATGGCTTAGTACTTGCACTCAGAAAGTTGGTAGAATGTTTGGGACAGCCGGTCAAATCTTGAAAACAGTAAATAGTAAAACAAGAGATTCAGTTAACCCTGCAATGTTGTTAGCAACTCTTGCCAAATGGACGCTGAGTGTTGTTGCCTTGTACCACCTGGTGATGGCCAGTGTTCCTTAAACGGTGAACGTACGACTCAAGCCGTTCATTTCCTTTCCAGAGGGAGGAATCCTCTGCTGCCCTCGGGGAGATCCAGGCCACAGCTTGCTGCGCTCCTAAAACCGCAGCATCCTCTATTTGGTCCCGCGCTGGGAGCTTGCTGGGGTGGGGGAGAGAAGTTGGGGCTTCGAAAAAGCTTTGCCTCGTGGAGGAATCAAAAGGGCAGAAGCAGTGTGAGGACGGAGAGAGGGAGGCCCGGCGAAGTAAAAACGCAAAGGAGCCCTTTGAGGAGGCTGGTTGCTTCCTCGATGGGGGGCGGCAGCCTTTGGGAGCCGGGGGGACCCTCCTGGAGGCGCCGGCCTGAGATTCCGCCCGGCGGCGAGAGACCCCGCCCTGCGGAGGACTGACGGGCTCCTCAGCCAATGGGCTGCGAGGACACTGCTCCGGGGGGCGGGTACTTCCTACTCCAGCTTTGGATTCGGGGAAGGGACCAAGTTCCTCCGCCGAGGATGTCTGTGGGACGGACGCCAGGCTGAGGCATAACCTTGTGAAACAAATACGTAATAATAAAGAGGAGGGGGCTCCGGTTTCCTCTGAGCCCTCCTAAGCGTCTGGTTCCATGATTCAGCTGCACCTTGAACTTAACCCCTTCGACTGAGAGTTTATAGCAGATAAGAAACGAAGTTGGTCAGCGGACTAAATACAGTCTGTGCGACTGATCGGGGCTTTACTCTGAAAGGATCTGAAAATGGAAAACAAGAAATGTCAGAATCTAAATCGTTAGGCGTTTTCAGTACAACCTGGGAATCTTTTCACAGTTAAAAATCTTGTCAATGTAACAAGTAAAGACTGTAACTTTATTTTCAGGCGTACAGACAGACTCATTTTATAATCTGAACTCCCGTTCGGGTTTATTTACTTAGATAATACCTGTTTTATCTAATGGAGATACTACCCTCCATTACTTTCCTCCCCTTCACATTTTCCTGGCTGGACAATTTCGAGAGTTCATTTCCAGCCCAGTAAAACAGCGCTTACTCCAAGAATGAGGAAGGCACTTCTGGTATGAGGGCAATGATGGCAGCGTACTAGTGGAGGAGGGGACGTTTGATGCCAATATAACTGACATACCTGATTAATAAATTAAAAATCTGCATTGCAGTTTTTAAACAGAAGTGCAGTGCTGTCACAGTTTGTGTAGATAAATATTTAATCTCATAACCCCCACTCCTAAATCTTCCTAGAGGTTGCAATGGACAGTTTTGGGCTCTGACTTACTGCAAACAGAAGTATTCTTTTCTTCTCAACTATTGTGCGTTTACTGAGATGTAGATTCCTTTTTTTACACTTAAATTTGTGGTCTGAGATATCATTAGAGACTTTTACAGTGTTTGTAAAACCAAACACTATTTTTCCTAGGAACCGTCTGATGTTTTAAAATGTATCTCTATAGCATTACTAATGCAGTTACTATTCAGGGCATCTGGAGAGGAGAGAATAGTGATTATTTATTGCAGTTTTGAAAAAAGTTGCTTAATTAGGTAATAAATTCCAAAATTCCTTTCAGGTTTTGTTTCCTTTTACTATTATTATTTTAAAAATAGGCTTTGGTATTTAAAAAATGTGTAGTGTAGCTGCAGCTGCACAAAGCAGCACTCTGTCACCATTCCTGGTTTCAGTCAAATTAAAGTCCCTTCAGATATTTGCTGGGGGGTCATGAGGGTAGGTATTTCAGTGCATCATCTATCAAACATGGTAGCAAACTTAATGCAGTGCTTGAGGGTGTCTTGGAAATGACATACATGATTACTGTTTGATCTGAGTTGCTTTACCAGCAATTTATCAGCATTCCTATAAATATATAGCAAGATGTTTTAAGAAGCATTGCTTTACCCTTTTGGGACTGTTTCAATCTAACTTCCCCCCCCCCATTTTTATAGGGAATGTGGATGAATATTATTTAGCTACATAATTGTAATCAAATATATGTGTTTGTAGGATATAATAATAGCAGTTTAGAATTTTCATTTAATCTCTGAGTTATAAAACTTATGAACTGCTGATTTCTCTTTTGGTAATTAGTAGTTTGATTATCCCTATGTGTTATATATTTTCACAAAAATATTAATATTTTTCATTCTGAAGAGAACACAGAGAATGTGTTTCATGGTTTTTAGTGGGCAGTGGGAATGAGAAGCACAAATGATCATGAAGCATTCCTTCATATTTTTGAGCAGGATAACTTTTTTAAACTTTGTCAAAATAGCAGCTGTCATCCTATTTATGTAATGAGCTTATACAATGAGCCATTTTGTAGTGATATCTATCCAAAGTGTTAAGCAACAATGTGTAAATGAACAAAACTTATTAAGTGGCCTATAAAAATTCAAAAATATATGTGTTCTGTTATATAATGGAAATAAGCCTTTTTATAAATCTTGCCACTGGTCTTCTGTTGATAGTAGTTAAGGGCTACTTTTTCATTCCAGGCTGTTTTTGTATGGAAGAGGTTTCACAAACTTTTCCTCTGATGGGCCATGTAGTAAATATTTCTGGCATTGTGAGCCATATGGTTTCAGCTGCTGCCATTGTAACTCTGATCACATGGGCATAGGTTTATTCAAATAAAACTTTGTTTATGCAAATAGGCCTGTGGCCCGCCTCTGCTCTGGAAGATAATACCAAAGGTCTAAATACGATTCCAGGCTATTGATGTTTGGGTCCATATGGAGTTTTCCACGAGAGTATTTTATAATTTTTTTATCCTTAGACCCTTGTGATAATTTGTTGATCTTTCCTGAGTCCCTGAGAATCATCCCTGGCTGTACATTCCTAAATTTCGTGTTTCATTTCAGAGTTCATAAACGTATCAACCTCTTTTAGTTTTATCTGCCGTTTCAGGTTTTTTCACCATTCTTTGCCTCGGGAATCCACTCCTGTCCCGTGACGCTGAAAGAATGTGCACCTCAGGCCAGGCGCGGTGGCTCACGCCTGTAATCCTAGCACTCTGGGAGGCCGAGGCGGGCGGATTGTTTGAGCTCAGGAGTTCGAGACCAGCCTGAGCAAGAGCGAGACCCCGTCTCTACTAAAAATACAAAGAAATTAATTGGACAGCTAAAAATATATATAGAAAAAATTAGCCGGGCATGGTGGCGCATGCCTGTAGTCCCAGCTACTCGGGAGGCTGAGGCAGGAGGATTGCTTGAGCCCAGGAGTTTGAGGTTGCTGTGAGCTAGGCTGACGCCACGGCACTCTAGCCGGGGCAACGCAGTGAGACTCTGTCTCAAAAAACAAAACAAACAAAAAAAAAGAATGTGCGCCTCTCGGCCTCCTTATCAAACCCTGTGGTGGAATCTGATGTCAGTCGTTTATCTTTACTCGATCGACTAATACCCTAATACGAGTGAGTTTTGGCTTGTTTCTTTATCTGGTAGGTTTCATTTTAAGCCTACTGGCATGATTGCCTTTGTTGCCTTTAGAGGGAATTTTTGGCATGAGCAAAGTGGGGGGCAGATTTTTTTCTTTTTCAGAAAAATTGATTTAGTCTTTCAAAAAATACTTTTTTCCCCAGTGAAAAAATTGTTTTTTCCAGTAAAAAAAAGAAATACTAGAAATGGCCTTTGCTTTGGAAGAGGGCCTACAGTCAAGGT